GTACTGTATGATATTTTGTGGGTTACTATCTGCAGAAAAATAAAAAAATAATTGAATGATTTCATCATATCAACATATTTCAAATTATGTCCAACTGTTTAGGAAAAGCAAAAGGAAAGTCTTCTGATCAAGACATGAAAAACCATCACCTTCTATATTAATGCCTAATGGAATCTGGATTATAGAAGCTTTAAAAACATGTGAAAAATCTTTGCTGGTTTAATGCTTTCAAATAATTATTCTTATTAAAATAATCTGGCTTTACAAATGATTGTATGTGATTTTCTGTGTCTCAAAATCATTGAAAGACATTCTTGGAATATTGAACAAAATCCAATATTTGTCCAAAGTGTAAAGCCCCCAAAGAACCTAACCAATGATAATTATTAAACACTCATGGTCTATGCAATGACTCACAATTCTGATCAAAATCATACTAGTCAGATAAGACCTGAGTAGCCCCAGCCTCCTCCTTGTGGCTTTCCAGGTTGCTGCTGAACAGCACAATGAATTGAACTCTATAGTGAACATAGCACAATAAACTGTACCCTTCCTGGCACTGATATACAATATGTGTTACCCATTTTGAAGGTGCAAAAATAGAAAGAGAATAACCAATCAATCTAGATTATTCAAATATGCTTGGCTAACAATGTGCAAGAGACATACTTGCCATTAACATAATTACTGATTGGATTATAGATATTAAGCATCTAAAGTAGTTAATAGGCGAATACAGAAAGAGAGGTATGAAGGAACAGGGAGGGAAGAAGGAAGGAAGGAAGGAAGGAAGGAAGGAAGGAAGGAAGGAAGGAAGGAAGGAAGGAAGGAAGGAAGGAAGGAAGGTTGGTTGGTTGGTTGGTTTTTAATGCTCTCTTCCAGCTTCCCATAAGTAAGGTCAATGGGGAAGCTGGCAGCACATTAGAAATTTCTCCTGCTACTTGTGCATTATGCCACAACTTTTGAATCTAGAAATCTCAAATCTGATAGCTTAAAGAATGTAAAAAAAAATCTGGGACGCATTACTACTGTGGAACTGAAATGTCCATGAAGGTAATTATTTTTCTCATAGGAAAATTGTTTTGTTTTTATTTTTCTTTTAAAAAAAACCTTAATAGGATGGGATTTTGAAGGATGGACACTAGAGGAACCAGAATGAATTAGAGATTACAATTAAAGGACAACACTTAAAATCAACTTATTGATACAGAATGCAGCACAATACTTTAACATTAGACATATTGACAAATGTTTTTGAACAATGGACCCAAAGTGTCTGCCTCTGAATAGACTGGTTTAAAAGATGTTATGAAAGAGGAGCACATTTTTCCAGACAAAACTGAGACTGATTGGAAAGTTGATTTCAAAATGACAGGGTAGAAGAATGACATAGAAAAAGATGTTATAATGGACATACAAAAGAAACCAGACAATGTCCCTTTACTCTGTTTTTCAAAGAATTTACCTAATATATTTTTGTCATCCTAATTCTAAAATACATCTGCACAGTTGTTGTTTTTTACATTTTCCCAATGTGTAGAGATCTTAGGAGCATTTGTTCACCATATAGTAAAAAATACTAATGTTGGTGTATGAAGGGTTTTCAATGAAGCATGGTATTCCATCCCAAATCCCCTGGGAACATTACAATACAAATTTTTGGATCAGACCAGGAGGACAATGCCCAGACAGCTTGTGTTCTTTTTTGCTTCACATGATCTTAAAATAACATTTCAATAAAAAAAAAGAAGTGTGGGATGTTTGCATAGTATTAATGTATTTTTAATAATAACAAACAACTTCCAAATGTTTAGGCATGACCTGAAGAACAATCATTTACCTGAATGCTTTATAGTCATGGCAGGAGGAGAAATAGCAGAGAAGGTTTATGATTTCTATGCATTTAACCATCTCTCCAAAAAAATATGGAGTGACTTTGCAAATATTTAATTGCAGTTTGTTTTGTGTTTGAAAGACTTTGAAGGAAGTTTTTTGCTAAATCACTATAATTAGATTCATTACTAAAATGCAAAACAGAAGATCTAATAAACAGCAGAAATACAACATATACTGTATATATTCTTGTATTTTTGAGTTAATTGGAGTATATCTGCTTCCAGTGCTTAGTCCTGTTGCTGAAAATGCGATGCATTTTCCTGTTCCTGCAAGCAGTGCAATCAGCTGAGAGATTCGGGATGCCGAGCTCTTCAGCTGAGTTTCTTCCTGTTTGGGGACCCTAAATGGGCCAGAAGCTGCCCCGGAGAGGTGGCAATGAAGGAAGGTAGTCCCAGGGACCTAGGAGAGATGGCGGTCTCCCCGATCGGTCCAGGAGAAGCCTCCCAGAAACCAACAGGAGAAAGGCTACCTAACTGCATTGTCTAGCCCCAGCTGCAAGCAAACGGAAGTCAAGAAGCTCTACTTAAGTTGATTGTAAACAGTGCGTTTGAAGCTGGGTAAGAACTAATTTTCTCTATCCTACATATTTTCCTGAAAAAGAGAACTCCCAAGAAGCAAATATACCTCCTAGAGTGAAAAAGGAAAGGATTCCCCCCCCCCCATTTGGTATTGGAAGTGGCGAATCTAACTCTTTAAGGAGGAAAAAGATTAGAAAGAACTGAAAAATGATCCAATGCTGACACCTACTGGTGGATGAGGACTATAAAATTTCTGTCTGTGGCCTTCAAAGTCTTAGTAAATACAGCTGCTTAGATAAAGTGATATTTACAGAAACAATGGATATTTTACAAGAGGGAATATATGATATGCTGCAATCCATTCAAAGGAGAATGATCTCAAACCACAAAGAAATACAAAATAAATTTGAAAGTATAAATCAACTTATCTCCAATTTAATTTCACTTCAAAAAAATCCTCAGGAGAACACAGCAGAGATGATTGAATATAAATTCAAGGAAAAAGATTTAAAGATGGACTTTCACAAAATAAAAGATTATGATTTAATTCAAGTGGAAGAAAAGACATCTTACATTTTAACATCACAAAACAAATTTGAAGACAAGAGAAAGGATTTGACGAAGAGACAAAAAGTCACAAAAAAAGTGGAGAAAAGAGGAATGAAAAAGCTTTCTAATAGAAAGAAGAGGGCAAATGCTCATGACAGAGACATTGATTTACTTTCTACATCTACAGTAACACTTATGATCATATGGGAAAACCTTTTGATCCAGCAAAGTACATTGATTAAGAAAGATTCTGGGCAAAGAAAAAATATTAAGATGGAAACCAAGAAAATAGATGATGGGACATATCAGAGAGAATACTTAAAAAAGAAACATGTGTTTGAATATAGTTAAAGAAATAGAAAAAAATTTGAAACACACCACTCTAAGAGGGATGAAATGTTTTAGATACTTAAATGTGACTGAATTCAAGAAAAGTATATATATATAATGCTTTGAATTAGAGTTAAGGGATCAGATGACTAGATCTATTGAATAGAATGTCTAAAGATTAAATATATTCTTAACTATGATTAAAAAGAATAAGAAATTTGAGAAAATAAATACTATTAATCTAGGAGGGATATATATTCTAAGTACTATGTTATTTCTTATGTTCCGTTACTTCTGCTTTTTTCTCTTCTTTTTTATTTTTTATTTCTTTTTCATTCTTCTTCTTTTCCCCTTTCTTTTTACTCTTTTATCCATTACTTAAGAAACATAAAAATGTGAGATGGCTTATATGGAAAAAATAGAATTAAGTCTGTCAATGTAAATGTAACTAATCATTGAGAAAACCTTTACCAGTAAGAATATTTAGAATTTGGTGGGAGAAATAAACTAAAATAAGGATTGTAACAGGATCGATGATAAGGCAATCCAAATGACTGAAAAGAAAATAAATGTACTAACATGATGATTATTTTTTAGGAATATTGGAAAAAATATATACCAAATTGTCATTCATTAAAATAATAAGAATTGTATTAATTCAATGTTTGCAAAAAAGGATGTTTCGGGGAAAGAAGAAATCAACCAAAATTAATATATGGAATACAGACTATAGAAATCAATTGTTAAGTAGTGTTTTTTTACAAATGTAACCCAGACAACACACTGTTTACCAATTATTGAGTGACTTATGCTTGTAAAAAAATTAATAAAAATATAATACAAAAAAAAAGAAAATGCGATGCATTTTCTGCATCACATAAGAAAAGCACATCTTCCTTCCCCTGTCCTGACCACTTTCTACAGGGGGACAATCGAGAGCATCCTGTCCAGGGCTTTTTTTGTCATAGAACGCCCAGAACGGAGTTCCGGCACCTTTTTAGGATGGAACCTTGTAGGGTAGGCAAGGCGGGTTGTATGACGTGTGTGAGTTCCGGCACCTTTTTTTTTTTTTTACAAAAAAAAGCACTGATCCTGTCATACAGCATTACAGTCTGGTTTGGAAGCATCACTGCTTCAGACAGGAAGACGGTGCAGAGAGTGGTGAGAATGGCTGAAAAGATCATTGGCTGTTCCCTCCCTCCCATCCAGGACATAGCACAGAAGCGTTGCTTCAGCAGGGTCCATAAGATTATCTGGGACACTACACATCCTCTTCTTGTTTTCCTTGTTACCTTCTGGGAGGAGGCTTCGTGGTATCCATACCAGAACATCCAGATTCAGCCATAGCTTCATTCCATACAGGATTAACCTTGTGAACTCTCAAGCTTCCTCCTTCCGTTATATATTCAAGATGGACAGTATTTAAAATTTATTTGCTATGTATATGTAGGGGTGTGGATCTATACATATGTTGTACATAGTATGTTTTAGGTGTGTGTCATGTATGTGTTTCATTTTGAGAATGGGAGAGGTAAAGTGGATGAGGGTGGAGGCAAGGCGGGGACTGCCAAGTGTATCCGAAAATGTTTTGAGTATTTTTATTGTTTGTTGGTGTATATAGAGGCATCATTTGTATTTGTTGTTTTAATTGAAAAATTAATAAAAATTTCTATTAAAAAACAAAACAAAACACATACTCACTCACTTTTTAGTTGAATCCAAGGAAGAGCTTGTCTTAATGAGGGATGACCCTTTGTGAACAGATAAATTGACTGGCAGAATTTAAAGCTGAGGAAAAGTATAAGAGATTAATGTAAACATAAATCATATTGTTTAAGGTAGCAAGATAAACAAGAAAGTCTGAATGCTACCTATATCTTCTTAAAATGGAGCTGAAGAAAATGAAGTGATCATGCAGTTTAATTATGGATTCTCCTTCAAGTTCATTCCTCCCTTCATGTGACTCTGTGACTGTTGATTCCTATGGCCCGTTTTCTGTCATTGGGCCCTAATCTTAGATTCAATAAATTGAAAGGCCTTGTGTTTACCAAGGTCAAAGGCCTCAGCTGCGCATACTGTTTATATGATTGTCAGGAAAGGTTGCAATGTCTCATTTAGAAAATTATAGAATGTACCATGTGATTGTAGCACTTTTTTCCTTTCAAAATGCATCACCTTGCCTTTCAGACAGTGTTTTTCAGAGAAGACAGTGATCTTATACACAATGTCCCCATTGTTTTCAGACTACTGCACTCCATATACTTTTACTTCATTCAAAAATCATTACCTCTTATCAGCTGTTTGTGGAGAAGTCTTCCTCTTTATTGTTTAGTGAGTCAGAACTTAGACTAGAGAATGGGATGAAGGACTGTTCTAATCCTGAAGACGATTTCACATGGGACCAAATGAATGTTTTGAGATAAATGAGCTGTGGAATGGGTAGGAGCAATTACTCCTAACCACTCATGTTCAGAAGCCTGTGTGCCTACATGCTTCATTTAGTGCTTAGGCTGAACCAGTTTGGATGGGCTATTAGACAAGCAGATCACTGAAGAGATGATAAGATGTTTGGATGCTGCCTGCAGTTATCAGCTACAGCCTATATGACTAGGCTATGTTTTCTGAGAAGCTTTCCAAATCACAATCTTCCTACTCTAATCCTTGAAAAAAANATTTCAGAATGCAGAAAACAGGGAAGATCCTGAACCAGTAAGAGCTCTTCCTCCAAATGACCAATAGAAGAGTATAAAAAAGCTATAAAAGAAAAAGAAAGCTATTTGCAGCTATACCTGCAAATCCTGAACAAAAACAGGATGTCAGTCCTAACCATTCTAGGCTATAAGGAAATAAAATAAGTTGCACACTTTCCCCTCTCATGTTTCCCATATATTCATGTGCTTTTGTGTTGCTTGCCACAGATCTGAGCAATATGTCCAAGAAGCAATTTGGAAAGGCACCAAGCCTTAATTTCTGCATGCAATTTATGAGGTGCTTATTATCAGTGAGGGACAACCAAGAGCAGCTTGTCCATTTTATAAATAGATTTATTTTTTCAGGAACTGTAAGCATAGATGCCTGCTGAAGCAGTGACTGGAAAGGAGGTGAGTCAGTATTGCATTAGAAGCCTTCTATTGTACTAGCCCCTAGAAACAAAGGAGATGTTCTTGGAACAACAAAAATCCTTCAATCACACAATTGCTTAAAATAAAAAAGCAAAAGCATATTGCTTTTGCTCAGCAAAATACCTGGTCCTTTGCAGAAAGAGAGGAAACAGAAAACCTGCTAATTTCAACTTTTCTTCCTTTCTAAACATTTCTGTGGATGAGTAAAGTTGGAATAATCCTTGTATCCTTAAAGCAAACAAATCAATTTTTTGTATACTTTAAAAGCTAAGCTGTTGACGGGATGAGGAAAAGCACAATTATTTTGAGGAGTGCTCAGCAAAGAAATGGAAGTAACTGCACTTGTTAAACTGCTGTGTGTTCCCAATGCTTCAAATCATGTTCCAGAAAATTTTCAAGTATCCTAGTGAATAATGTCTGTTTAAGGTACTTAGTAATCAGTATTGTCCAGCAGTCTTCAAAGGTTTACCAATTTCCAATGTGTCTCCATTACCTAACTTGAAATTATTAGGAAATAATTATCTTATACTAACAGCCTATGATAGACTAGGAATTGAGAGCAGCGGGGGGGGGAGGACTGTGAGTGTGATTATTATGAGTGTGTTTTTGTGGGTGGAGTGAGGATGGTCTAGATATCCTGATGGTGCTGAGAACTAGTGAACTTAAAGTGTCTCAGGGTATCTGGCTTCCTCTCCCTGGGACAAATGGAAGACAGTATTATTATTATTATTATTATTATTATTATTATTATTATTATTATTATTATTATTATTATTATTATTATTATTATTATTATTATTTGGATTTATATGCCGCCCTTCTCCCTATAGGACTCAGGGCGGCTTACAGCATATTAAAACACATAAAACATCATCCCCCCATAAAACCTGTTAAAAGCCAAATATTTAAGGCGACATATTAATTAATTTTAAATTTAATTTTAATAGGGATAAATTTTTAAGAGCCTAGGCCAGACCCGCTTGTTGAAAAAGCCATGTCTTGAGGGCGCGGCGGAAAGGTAGGAGGTCCGGAATCGTCCGGATCTCGGGGGGTAGTTCGTTCCAGAGGGTGGGGGCACCCACAGAGAAGGCCCTCCCCCTGGGGGTTGCCAGCCGACATTGCTTGGCCGACGGCACCCTGAGGAGGCCCGCTCTGTGGGAGCGTACCGGTCTGTGAGAGGGAATCTGTGGCAGAAGTATGAACTAGGGGCAGCTGGATTGGAAAATGGGGCTGGCTTTGATGGGAGATAAGGACAAGCCAAGGTTTTATGGTGCTGACAGGCAGGGGAGGGTATGGGGAGACGTGGAATGGGCTATTCCTAGGGAAAGCAGAATCGTTGTCTTATTCTGGGTTCATATTCCAGGAATCTGGTCACAGTCCCTGCATCCATTTAGAGGCACCACTCATCTAGGATCTAATCCATGATGGAAGGCTAACCTTTGATGTATGACTGAGACATAGCTGGCTCCTAAAGTCGGGGGTGGCCCTTCTAGAAATATGACCAGCTGGGTTTCCAGTATGGCATCAACTGGGCCGGGGGGGGGATGATTGTTATCCAAGAATCCTTTACAGCTTATAGAGGTTCTGGTCCACAGAGCACTGGATGTGACACCCTGTTTATTAAGATGGCTTTAGGGATCAGTTGAGATTGTTGCTGCAGTACCAACATCCCTGCTATAAAGCAACCTCTTTGCCTGAAGTCCTTGATTCCATCTTTCAGTTAGCAATGGAGTTCTTCAGACTTATGATCTAAGAGAATTTCAACCTGCCCCCCTAGGATGGATCTGAGGTGACTCAGGAATTCCTGACCTGACACAAGATAGTGATCATACCCTGGATAGTGGCATCCCTGTCAGAGCAGTGGCTATGTGACCTGAAATTGGGGGAAACTTGGTTTCTCCCTTATCATGGTCAGATCATACCTGAATTACTATGAGATTCTCTAGTGCCACTATCTGATGCAGGTGGCTGGTCCCATTAGGTCTATCCTAGTGACTGATGGGCCTGGATGGCTTTCAGGTGGAGCTGAGAGTTATTCCTGCTGGTTTATTCCACATTCCATTTAAAGCCTTGGTCACTGCTTAGAACAGGGGACATTCGAGGCTTTGGATCAGCTCATACTCATGTGACTATTCCCTTCTATAAGCCCCATCACTCCTCATGGAGGAATTGAGGCTGTTGAAATGAGAAAAGAGATGTCTAGAGGATTGCTGGTGCTTAATAAAGACTGAGCCCAACTAGACATGGTTAGAACCACTATAAAGGCCTATTTTTATCAGTAACGGTGGCAAAGTATCAGTATTTCTCCATGCTTATTGCATCTCCGGATAGCTGTCCTGTGGTCCTGTTTCAGGTGACGAATACTCTCTTGAATAAAGCAGGCTCTGAGAGCCTCCTGTTCTGGATCAGAAAGTAGTTGCACAGCATCCTCAAAGGACCTTAGATGAAGTAGATTATTTGGATCTCTTTCAGGGGGATCTGAATATGTGATGGTCACATATTGGTCACACTTTGAATGATCTCTGTTGTGCATGAGACAACCACCATTTTGATAGTTCTGCTGTACTGTTGTCTGTGGACGCCCCCACTAGATGCAAGCATGGGATAAACTGAGCCTGGTTTGTTCTCAGTCTTTTAAGTGGCCACAGACTACTAGCAAAAGTGGCATTTGATCACAAGGCAAGGAGGCATCGAGAATTGTTTCCCCCTTTGCATTTGAGCATCCAAGAAGGGACAGGAAATGAGAAAGAGAAAGAGGAAAGACAAACAAAAAGAAGGAAAGGGGGGAAAGAAGGAAGGAAAGGAAAATAAGAGGGAAGGAAAAAGAAGAAAGGGGGGAAGGAAGGAAGGAAGGAAGGAAGGAAGGAAGGAAGGAAGGAAGGAAGGAAGGAAGGAAGGAAGGAAGGAAGGAAGGAAGGAAGGAAGGAAGGAAGGAAGGAAGGAAGGAAGGAAGGAAGGAAGATAAATTATAATGAGAGGGAGGAAGGGTCTGAGGGAAGTCCTGCCTTAGCACTTGGCCCCGAGCAGCCCTGCTGCCCTTTCGCCATCCCCTTGTCCCCTCCTCCTGAACTCTCCTGTTGGTCTCCCAGCCTATCGCTGAGGATGCTTTGGTTACAAAGATGGGTCTCCTCACATGGAGAGGGATTGGGCTTCCCTCTGATCCATACATTTTGCCCTCCCACAACACCATGAGCAACTTGGCAAAGGAGAGCACAGTAACTGCAGCCTCAAGAAGGAGGTAAGTGTGGCTGGGCATCCCCTTGGGGAAGTGGGGCTAGGCTAGGCTGGGCTGCGGGGTCCCTCAACTTGAGGGCTGGGCGCTTGACCTCCACTGCCCAAGGCTCTGGGAAGCCCACGCCACCATCCAGGGGCCCTCCGCACGGCCTTAGAGGGACAGTGAGGCTCTTCCAGTGGACCATGTCCCAACACTCTCTCCAGTCCCACCCTCCTCCACTGGAGACCCTTGGATCTGCCTCAGGCCTGCACAGGCGCCCCTGACACGAGCAATGTGGAGTTGGTCACACCCACCCAGTAGGCCATACCCATCCAGTGGGCCATGCCCACCTCAGCCATGCCCACCCGGTAGGCCACCCCCATGCTAGCTACACCCACCCAGTTCCCCAAGGGCAACCACAATGCTGATGTGACCCTCAATGAAATTGAGTTTGACACCCCTGGTATAGACCTACCAAACTGAACAAGAAGTCAGATACTTTATTTTGCATAGTTTATTCAGTACTCTAGAGTTGGTTTTATAAACTGCGTTAATATACTATATTATTGAAAGTTTTCTATAAACTTTTTCAAGACTATGAAACAATACTCAAATGCTTTAAACCAGAAAGTAAATAAATAACCAAACTCCTTACATTTCATCTAAAAAAATTAAGATTCTGGTTAAAAAATTTTCTAGAAAAAAAATCTCTTCCAAATTATTTTTCCTCTAAGGGTCTCTTTTTCATAAATTTTCTTCCTAAAACAATACATTTTAGTAACTACACTTTTCCTAGGAATTCAGATCTACAAATTCTGAAAAGGGTGTGTTTTGGTGTACAATTACTTTCTCTTTCACTTCCATCTCAAGGAATAGCAAAAAGAATACTGGATTCAAAAACATGCCTTAAAAATAAAGGAATTTGTGAAAAGTCTTGTCCAGCTACTCAAATGAAAATAGGACTTTGTCATGTCAATGAGCCTTGCTGCAAAGTATAAGATACAGAAATTGAAACATTCATAGCATTTATTTCATTTTATCTCATAAATAGGATCAGACAAATTGTTCTATGTTCTGTCCATGCCAGTTCTCCTCATAAGCTTATACCTCTTTAGTGTCAAATTCATTGTGCAAATGGCTAAAATGAGCTCAACATTCTTGGGATAGTCTTTGCAAAGTCCTTGTAACCTAAGCATCTATCTGTCTACACTAAGGAAGCCTTAAGTGTCCACCAGATGAGCCTTGCTTTCCATGCAAATTTAAATCCTGTTGCATCAGACATCGAACATGCAAAGGCCTCTTTAGTTTACAGAATTTCACTGAATGAGTGGAGCTTCTTTTGCTGGAATATCACAAGTGTGGTTTTTGGAAATTCTTAACATGGTGAATTTAATACTTCTTTTCTAATGGCAATTTTTATTGCCTCTTAACTGCCCACATAAAACTGTGTGTGGAATGGAGGGACAATGTGCCATAATATTTCACAGATGAACCTGAGGCTGCAGAAAAAGGAATAAGGTGACTTCATAAACCAACCCTGATGAATAAGAGTTATTAGATCCATTCATGTCTCCCACTCCTCCCAGTAGAATCCATGTACAAAAGTTGCATGTATGATATTTTGAGGGTGATTATCTAATAAAAAATAATTGAATGATTGCAACATATCAATATATTTCAAATTATGTCCAACCACTTAGGAAAAGCTAAAGGAAAGACTTCTGAATAAAACAGAAAATCCATCACCTTCTACATGAATGCCTAATGGAGTCTGGATTATAGAAGCTTTAAAAACATGAGAAAAATCTTTGATGGTTTGAATGCTTTCAAACAATTATTCTTATTAAAATAATCTGGCTTTACAGATGATTGTATGTGCTTTTCTGTGTCTCAAAATCATTGAAAGACATTCTTGGAATATTTAACAAAATCCAATATTTGTCCAAAATGTAAAGCCCCCAAAGATCCTAATCAGTCATTAATCATTAAACACTCATGGTCTATGCAATGACTCACAATTCTGGTCAAAATCATACTGGTCAGATAAGACCTGAGTAGCACCAGCCTCCTCCTTGTGGTTTTCCAGGTTGCTTCTGAACAGCACAATGACTTGAACTCTAAAAGTGAACATAGCACAATAAAGTGGACCCTTCCTGGCACTGATATATAATATGTGTTATCAATTTTGAAGGTACAAAAATTGAACTAAAATTAATAACTGTTATGTGCTCCTGGCCACTTTCCTTCATGACCAGAGGCAAGCTCGCCTGACCAATAACCAGCCAAGACACAGTGAAGACCTTTTGTTTTGTTTATTGCAATAAGCTTGGTTCTCTCCAACGTTTCAACCCAAAATATTCCCTTCTTTATGCAGCCCTGTCCCGGCTGCCACATCCCTCCTCTTTCCCCATTGGCTGAGATACTATGAGGTTATACTCTTTCCAACTGCCTCCTACCTATTTCCTGCTACATACTAAATCATACATCACAAGTACATTAATAATATAAAGTATTAGACATATTCAATTGTTGCTTTTGAGTTCTGGGCCCCTTAGAACAATATGTTCTTTCATGAAATTCATGAACATATATAGTTCACGAGCTTTCGGGGCCATAGATAGTTCATAAAAAGATTTCTTTTTGAATGGGAGGGCTGAATGCAATGTCTGTACAGTGAATCCTCAACTCACTTCAGTCAATCAGATCTTCAGCTTTAAAAGGAGCCAGCCCTTCCTTGAGTCACTCTGGAGGTCGAGATTCTGACTCTTTCCAGTTGTGGTGAATGAATCAGGAGAAAACAGGCCAATACTTTCTTATCATCTGTCAATGGAAAAAATAATAATAAATTCATGACCACAATTTTTGTTGTTCATTAGAATGGAATGGAATGCCAAATTCTTAGAAATGATAGCAATCCTTTATCAGTTATCTTCTTTTATGTGAAAACACATACTCACTCACTTTTTAGTTGAATCCAAGGAAGAGCTTGTCTTAATGAGGGATGACCCTTTGTGAACAGATAAATTGACTGGCAGAATTTAAAGCTGAGGAAAAGTATAAGAGATTAATGTAAACATAAATCATATTGTTTAAGGCAGCAAGATAAACAAGAAAGTCTGAATGCTACCTATATTCTGTGACTGTTGATTCCTATGGCCAATTTTCTGTCATTGGGCCCTAATCTTAGATTCAATAAATTGAAAGGCCTTGTGTTTACCAAGGTCAAAGGCCTTAGCTGCACATACTGTTTATATGATTGTCAGGAAATGTTGCAATGTCTCATTTAGAAAATTATAGAATGTACCATGTGATTGTAGCACTTTTTTTCCTTCAAAATGCATCACCTTGCCTTTCAGACAGGGTTTTTCAGAGAAGACAGTGATCTTATGCACAATGTTCCCATTGTTTTCAGACTACTGCATTCGATATACTTTTACTTCATTCAAAAATCATTACCTCTTATCAGCTGTTTGTGGAGAAGTCTTCCTCTTTATTGTTTAGTGAGTCATAACTTAGACTAGAGAATGGGATGAAGGACTGTTCTAATCCTGAAGACGATTTCACATTGTTTAAGGCAGCAAGATAAACAAGAAAGTCTGAATGCTACCTATATCTTTTTAAAATGGAGCTGAAGAAAATGAAGTGATCATGCAGTTTCATTATGGATTCTCCTTCAAGTTCATTCCTCCCTTCATGTGACTCTGTGACTGTTGATTCCTATGCCCCGTTTTCTGTCATTGGGCCCTAATCTTAGATTCAATAAATTGAAAGGCCTTGTGTTTACCAAGGTCAAAGGCCTTAGCTGCACATACTGTTTATATGATTGTCATGAAATGTTGCAATGTCTCATTTAGAAAATTATAGAATGTACCATGTGATTGTAGCACTTTTTTCCCTTCAAAATGCATCACTTGCCTTCCAGACTTTATTTTTCTGAGAAGACTGGGATCCTATGCACAATGTTCCCATTGTTTTCAGATTAGTGCACTCCATATAATTTTACTTCATTCATAGATCATTACTCTTATCAGCTGTTTGTGGAGAAGTCTTCCTCTTAATTGTTTAGTGAGTCATAATTTATATAGAGAATGGGATAAAGGGCTGTTCTAATCCCAAAGACAAATTCATTTGTATCCTTAAAGCAAACAAATCAATTGTTTGTGTACTTTAAAAACTAAGCTTGCTGGGTTTGAGGAAAAGCACAATTATTTTGAAGAGTGCTCAGCAAAGAAATAGAAGAAGCTGCACTCATTAAACTGCTGTGCCTTCCCAATGCTTCAAATTGTGTCCCAGAAAATGTTGCACCCATTCCTCTTTTCTCCTGTGTTTTTGTTCTATGTTCCATTTTTCTTAAGAATTTGTGCCGACCAGAAATAGTCATCTTTTCCCATTAAATGTCAACAAGTGAAAGCCAAGTGCTAGTTAGCAAGTTCAAACCTAAAATATTTCCTTTCACAGTCCCCATTTCTTGTCCATAAGGGCAACACTTTCATTTATTATTCTACGAATAGGGATAGGAACAAGGGGAGCAAGCATCATCATGTTGTTTAAGACAAGATGGGGCTATTTACTTAATGTTTCAATTGGAACTCTTGTAGATTTATGACGTACAAGGGAAATCTATTTCCAATGCAGTTATAGCAAATTAAATGTTATCCTAAGAAGGAGAATATGTGTCTGGGTTATTCAAATGTCTCATTGTAGCATATGTTGGATCCCCAACAGACAGACTAATGCTTAGGCGTTGCGTAAATGAAGCAACAGAAAGATGCTCCAAGGGGGGGGGGCATTCACATGAGGTCACAGAATATGTTTGGTCCCTTACTGGAAGAGAAATATTCAAGGGGGGCAGAGTTACATTATACTCTACAGCCCAAGTGCTCATTGCCATCAGAGGCATTGTTGCAGGTTTATGACAGAAAGAGAACACACGCTTCCTTAACAATATAATGACAAGATAAAGGAACACTGTAATGCAAAATATAGTAAGAAGTAACACCAAGATTTTTCCTCCAAAACCCAAGAATATCCCAGAAAGTATATTCCAAAAGCCTCAACAGAATCTTTCTTGTATTCAATGACTGCTTTTCTAATTTTAGAAATATCATTAAACAGACTTTGATTACCGTCCGGGATAAGAACACAGGAAGAAAAGGTTCACAGAAGAGCAACTAAAATGATCAAAGGCCTGGAGACTAAAACATGAAAAATGGCTGCAGGAATTGGGTTTGGCTAATCTAAAGAAAAGAAGAAATAGGGGAGACATGATAGCAGTGTTCTAGTATTTGAGGGGCTGCTACAAAGAAGAGAGATCAAATTCTTCTCCAAAGCACCAGAGGACAAGACAAGAAACAATGGTTGGAAACTGATCAAAGAGAGAAGCAACCTGGAATTAAGGAGAAACTTCCTGACAGTGAGGATGATTAACAGCTTGCCTCCAGAAATCATGAGTGCTCCATCACTGGAGATTTTTAAGAAGAGGCTAGACAGTCACTTGTCTGAGAGGGGAGGGGAGGGGAGGAAATTCATAGTGGTTTTGGAATCAAAAGAGTAACAGATGAGAGCTGGTCAAGTTAATTTTCTTTCCCTTTGCCTAAGGTACTATATACAAGTGAACAGTTGGGGTAATTTATAAAGACAACTGAGAGATTTCTGGCTGTATTTTAAAAAAATAATTGTTTAAGACTTTGAAAAGAAGTACCAGTATATTATGCACACCAATGAAAAAGAAGCAAATGAGATAAAAGTGCTGATTTCTTTCTTCTTTATCCTGCAGTCAGTTTTCAACATTCTGTGTTCCAGAGAACTTATTAATAATACTGGAAATACTCTTCAGTGGCAACCTTACAATGGAGACCATAACCTAACCTGGAAATGTCATGGTCACAGAGAAAGGTACCCAGACAATCCTTACCCAAGATAAGTAACAGCTGGATTATGGATATTATTGGGTAAAAGATTTACTTGACTAAGCCACTCTCTTTTAGCAACTGAAATGAGCCAATAAGTATCTCCAGTCATGAAAACTGGCCATTTAAGGAAAATACCACCTCTTCCAATTAACATCAAAATACAGAGAAAGAAACAACCAATCCAATTGTTCCCCTATCTGGCTGTCATTGATATTTGCATTTGTAATGAAATGTACACCCCACAGTGATGATTTAAAAGATGGGATGCAACATACCTTCTAGGCTTCTTTTGGTGACTGGACTAGAGAAGAGTTAATCAGTTGCTTTGAACTAGCGCTAACCATGAAGACTTGGTGTGTCCTCCTTTTCCTCACCTTTGTGATTCTTTCTGATTTGGGTAAGTCAATTCTGATGAAACCGTTATACTAACATTCATGATGAAGGATCAGGCTCTTCAGAAAGAAACATGTATTTAATCCATAGACCTACCAAACTGAACAAGTAGTCAGATACTTTATTTTGCATAGTTTATTCAATACTCTATAAAGTTGGTTTTATAAACTGCTTATCAATCTACTATATTATTGGAAGTTTTCTGTAAACTTTTCAAGACTGTGAAGCAATACAGTACTAAAATGCTTTAAACCAGAAAGTAAATAAATAACCAAGCTCCTTAAATTTCATCTAAAAAAATCTAAGATTCTGATTAAAATTTTATCTAGAAAAAAATATCTTCCAATTTGTTTCCCCTAAGGGTCTCTTTTTCATAAGTTTTCTTCCTAAAACAATACATTTTAGTAACTAAACTTTTCCTAGGAATTTAGATCTACAAATTCTGAAAAGGGTGTGTTTAGGTGTATGATTAGTTTCTCTTCCATCTCCAGGTGAAGCAGTGAGGATAATGGATTCGAGAACATGCCTGAAAAATAAAGGAGTTTGCAAAAAGTCATGTCCTGATCCTCAGTCAAAGATAGGACTTTGTCACGTCAATGAGCCTTGCTGCAAAGCATAAGGTGCAGACATTGAAATATTCATAGCATTTATTTCATTTTGTTTCATAATTAGGATCAGACAAATTGTTCCATGTTCTGTCCATCCCAGTTCTCCTCATAAGCTTATATCTCTTTAGTGTCAAATTTATCACGCAAATGGCTAAAATAAGTTCCACTTTCTTGGGATAGCCTCTGCAAAGTCCTTGTAACAGAAGCATCTATCTGTCTACACTAAGGAAGCCTTTAAGCGTCCACCAGATGAGCTTTGCCTTCCATGCAAATTTAAATCCTGTCACATCAGACATCAAACTTGTGAAAGCCTCTTTAGTATAGATAACCTCACTGAATGGCACAAGTGTGGGTTTTGACAATTGTTAACAAGGTGAATTTAATACTTCTTTTCTAGTGGAAATGTTTAGCCAATTTCTCAAAATTAAAATACAGAAGCACACCCATTCACAGATAAAGGAAAATATTTTTATTTGTATGCATCTTTCCCTTATAAATGTACATTTTAAAGCTAAAAATTTCAACACAAAGTCCACTACGAAGAATAACTAAATCATATTTGCTTTCTCTCAGAGGAAAGCAAATTAATTTCCTTAAAAGATGCAGAGCATTTGGGAAAAAAAGCATTTCTCCATGCTTTTAGTGAATGAAACTTTTTTTGCAGAATTGGAAAGGGGTATATGGAAAGGGCACAAACAGTACACACCACACACACCCAACTTTCCAAACTTCACTGGGATCTCCACTTTCCCATTTTTCTATCTGAATTCCAATAAAGGGGGGGGCAGCATCCCTCTAAGACAGGGGTGTCAGACTGCTGGCCCTTGGTCCGGATACGTCATGCCGAAACCATGCCGGCAATGGAAAAAAAGTTGTGATATGTCACAACATGTCACATGAGGCTTCCAACTGTGGGATGGGGGATCCCTTGCACCCACCAATTATTTCCTCAGGTATAAAATTTTAATTCAATGGATCTAGTTTCCTTCTTTTTTTACACGAATTTCAGACTAAAGGGATTTTTGGAATGACTGGTACTTGTGTACCCACCAAACAGTGGAGTAAAAAAAAGGATTAAAGGATAATAAAGGTACCAAAATAGGAATTTGAAATGGTACTTTAACCATAGCC